GTCATTCCAAACTCCTCAGAACCTCCAATCTCCCAAGTATCCTCTTCATCTCTGTGAAAATTGTTCAAAATTCACTGCCATATTACATAGCAGTTTAGTTTCTTTGTTTTTTTTTAATAAAATTTTTCTTTTTCTTAATTAGTTTTGTATTAGAAAATAAATTGGGTATGCTATACGATCTTATAACCTGGGACACACACTAAAAAATAATACTAAGATCCATATAAAGAATTTTATATGAGGAATTCTACAGAATTGTAATTCAAGTTGTTAAGAAACTTGAAATAATCTTATACAATTGCCACAATCGTCTCACACCTTTTTGATTTGGATTTTTTTGCATTTTCATTTTTATATGCATTGTTAAATTTTTTGAAATTTCATTGGCATATGACTTTTGTTAAATTACCTGCATTCCACCCCAGTCGACTATGGCTAGTTTAAAATATCCTTATTTGATTTTGTGAGATGCTTGGAGCTGTTAGTGATCTCTGTTTTTAATTGCACTGTTGTTTTGTCATCTATGTTTTTGCTTGATTTTGACTTCAAAGTTGGTTAAATAAAATTTTTCATTTTTTTTTTTTGTTTGTTTATTTTGCAAATCAACATCATAGATTTATAAATCTCTGCAAGATTCTGATTTGGAATTTGATTCATAAAATAAAATATACAATGGCAGTGAAATGAATGTCATCCAAATCAATTCAAATTGATATTTATTTATTTATTTATTTTTTTTTTTGAGTATAAATTTTCTAAAATGGAGAAATATTGTTATTTTTAAAAAAATTTTTCATCCACTGTTTTTAAATGTCAGGTTACTCTGACCACATAGCAGAGAAGAAATCAAACTGAGAACATTGATTCTTCATTAACACACACATACACACCTTCTCATATTGAAAGTACAGGAAAGAAATGCTCCTGCATTTCCCTAAATCAGTCATACTAAAAATTTAAACTCTCAATTCAAATTTTTCTACAGATAAACCATATGCTGTCCCCTTATACTAAACTAATTAGAGGGGACCTTACTGCACATGGGTGAACATGCAGTCACTAGTGAGGTATTGTAATTATTTACATTGTTTGGACTGTTGTCTTCATCTTTATTGTCATATTTGCTGATGTCCTCAAGGACACGTGGCTCAGTGGATAAAAGCGTTGGTTGAATCTATTATCTTTACCCAAAGAGTTATGAGTTCAATACCTGGTTACAGCTGAGGTGAATAAAAAAAAAAAAATACACTGATGTTCTCAAGGACACATAAAAGTGTTGGTTGAATCCAGTGACTTGACACAAAGAGTTATGAGTTCAATACCTGGTTACAGCTGAGGTGAATAAAAAAAAAAATACACTGATGTCCTCAAGGACACATAAAAGTGTTGGTTGAATCTAGTGACTTGACACAAAGAGTTATGAGTTCAATACCTGGCTACAGCTGAGAAGAACAAAAACTCGGAGAGTTTAAGGGAGATAACTGAGACATCCAGAAGAGGTATGGCATGTGGAACAAGAACAATCTATCCTGGTGGACAAAATAAAGGGTTCAGTTCAAAACTCCTGTCACCTAAAAAAGACCAGAGTGTTTAACAGCTGAAATGTTGTGAATATGACAGTAAAGATGAGGGTAACACTCTGTGCAATGTAAATAATCACTAGTGAGTTTACAAGTGTGTAACTATCACATTATCATCTCCTTCTCTCCAGTTTAGATTTGTTTCATTGTAACTTCTGGTTTTACCCAAAGTTAAAATTACCTGTTGAAACATTATAAATGAGATTATAGAGAATGTGATGGAAAATCCAAAAGAGAATTTCAATTATTTCCAGGTATAATTTGTGTGTGTGTGTGCATTTCCTTTCTTATGTATATAAGAGTGCTCTATTTTTAATACTTTTAAAAGATTTTTTAAATACCTGTCTGTATCTCTGAGATGAGGTATTATTTACATTATTCAGACTGTTATCCTTATCTTCATTGCCATATTCACAATGTTTCGGCCGTTGTACCCTCCTGCCTTCTTCAGGTGATTGGAATTTTGGGCCGAACCCTTTATTTTGTCCGCCAGGGTAGGTTGTTCTAGTTCCAAGTGCCATGCCTCTTCTGGATAGAATAAGATGAGGATAGCAATCCAAATAATATAAATGATGAATTTTTAATACATATAAATACAATATGACATATTAACAGCCTATTTCACATTGCAATTTATAAAACAAAAAGAAAAACTGCCCATTTTAAAAATCGCACAGCATGAAATGAAAGCTCATAACAGACATCTCTTTGTATCTGCTTTTAATGAGTGTAAGCATGTCTTCAATGAAGTAAAGTTGCTATTTGCTGAATGAGAGACTGTATAGCCTCTCACATGTTTTGTTCTAGTGGTTACTGGCAGCTCTGTAAGAGTATGCTGGAGAAGAGTAACTCCTCAATATCCTCCTCTCTTTAATCAGTTTGAAATATTGTAGTCTACTGCAGATAAAGCAGAATGCTTTGCTTGTAACTTCTCTTCCAACTCCACTCTTAACTCTTCAGGAGTATCTTTACCTGATTTTACCTGCTAAATTTGAATCTCTACTGAGTGATATGCACATAACTCCATTCATGTTTTCTGCTATCATCTCCAAATTAGATCCCCACAAGACTTGCAGATTTGATGTTATCCCTGCAATTCTCCTAATGAAATCTGCTCTTGTACTGGCTCCTGTTCTCTCCAAACTCTTGCTTTTCAGCTTATTAGAAATCCCTCCTCATTAGTTTCTATCTAAGAACTCTGGTGAACCTTCTGAGGCATCAAATTATCACCAATTTGGTTTTTACCTATTTTTGGCAAAGTACTAGAGGGTCTAATAAATGCCAAATTGGTTAAAAAATCTCACTTCTGCCTTTCAGATAAACAGTATGGCTTTCATTACTCTAGGTTTACTGCCAATGTGTTAATGGTTATTACTGTATTAGGCTTTAGATAAAAACGACAAGGCTTAGGCTGTGGCTTTAGATATATCAAAGGCATTCAACATGATTTAGCATGTTGGTTTTCGCTACAGTCTTTTCCACACTATCAAAAAGGAAAGAGTTGGAAGGAAATTCTGATCTGTACTAGAAAGAATTATACTGTTAGTGAACTTGAGAAGTTTAATTTTCTTGAACTCTTTTAAGAAAAAAGATTTTATAAATTTTAACCAGCGTTAATGTATGCTAACTGTTCACCCAATGAATGCTGAATGTTTTCTTATAAGAAAACAGCTAATCTCACCTTTACCGTATATGCAATGTAATTGGCCCTGATCTGGCATCTTGTCTGCAGTTGCTCTCTCACAGACGTGTCATCGCCTCTCTCTGTCTTTTTTACAAATACTTTCATGGTAAGTGCTCCGAGGAGCTGCTTTTGCTGGTTCCCAAACTTCATGAATTTAAGTGTTCTACTCGGCTGGCATCTCGCAAACACCCTTTCACTGTCGAAACTGTTAAATGTAGCCAATCTTCAATAGCTTCATGTCTTGCACCTCTTGCCTGTGGAACTCCCTCCTCTCTTCCTGTTTCCCTGATAGCTATAATCTCCAACTATTCAAATGTAATGTCAATTGATGTCTCCAGATACCCTGGTCTATCCCCTATCCTTCTCTTCATCCTTTCCTCTATCACCCTTATTTGCTCTAACTTTCTGTAACCCCTTTCATGCTAGTGGCTTCCCGCCTTGCTTGGGGTGAAACACTTGTAAAAAAAAATAACAGCATATCTCAAAATTTGCAATATTTTTGTCAGGTCTCTTTCTTTTGCTCATAATTGTTCCTTCATTATAATTTGCTTCTTTTTGTTTTAATTTTTTGTCTTTGTGAAACTGAAATCTCTTGGAAGATTTGGCTCTTAACTTTTATTTGCATAGAATCAATTGTTTTCAGTATCTGTCTATATTTCTGAGATGACATATTATGTACATTATTTTGACTATTGTCCTCATCTTTGTCGCCATATTTATCACCCTTCAGTATCTGTCTATATTTCTGAGATGACATATTATGTACATTATTTTGACTATTGTCCTCATCTTTGTCGCCATATTTATCACCCTTCAGTATCTGTCTATATTTCTGAGATGACATATTATGTACATTATTTTGACTATTGTCCTCATCTTTTGTTGCCATATTTATCACCCTTCAGTATCTGTCTATATTTCTGAGATGACATATTATGTACATTATTTTGACTATTGTCCTCATCTTTGTCGCCATATTTATCACCCTTCAGTATCTGTCTATATTTCTGAGATGACATATTATGTACATTATTTTGACTATTGTCCTCATCTTTGTTGCCATATTTATTACAATGTTTCGGCTGTTGTACACTCCGGCCTTCTTCAGGTGGTTGGAATGTCGAACTGAACCTTTTATTTCACTCACTGGGGTAGACTGTTCAAGTTCCATGTGCCATCTTTAATGGCTGTCAGTTATCAGTTATCTCCTGTTAATTTCCCTCTGAAATAAATATAATATGGGAATTGGTAATAAGGAGTGTCAGAGAAAAGCAATAATAACAACAAAAATTGCAATATGAGCTCTGGTAAAAACATGGAATGATAACAGCAAAATTGCAATATGAGCAGTGGTAAAAAATGGTTGCTGAAGACATTAGGCTTATAATACCCAGAAATTCATGCACAGATGGACACATGGCACAGTGGATAAAGGTGTTAGTTAGATCCAGTGACAGGACCCAAAGAGTGTGAGTTCAATACCCGATTAAGGCAGCGGAGAACTTTCAGAGGGAAATTAACAGGAGATAACTGATAACTGACAGCCATTAAGCATGGCACGTGGAACTAGAACAGTCTACCCCGTGAACAAAATAAAGGGTTCAGAAGAAGGCCGGAGTGTACAATGGCTGTAACGTTGTAATAAATATGGCGACAAAGATGAGGACAATAGTCCAAATAATGTGAATAATGTACAATTGTTTTCATTTTTCCTTTTATGTATATTTTTTTTTCAGGTGCCACTGAAGGATTTAGAAGAAGCCTCAAAAAGTTTAGTCATGGCTTTGTCAATCCGAGAAAAGTACATGATGCTTTCACAGCAGGGTTTTCCTAAGATCATTAATCGATGTCTACAAAGTACCATTGACCATAATGACTTCCACATGATTTCTGATGGTTGTGCAGCTTGTGAGAAGAAAACAATTGCAGGTAAGACAACATTTGCCATTTGTGCAAACAATTCGACACCTTATGAAATGACATCATTTATAAACATGCAAATTTCATTTTGATAAACTAATGTATTTATTTACAAAGGACAGGTGAATTTATTTTCATTTTTTATAAGCATTTTACCAGCACATTTTGGAAGAGTTGAATGAACAACTGTTTGATGTACTTAAAACTGAATTCAAGATGAAATGATAAAAAAAAAAAATCGTTTTTCTTTTCTTTTTTTTTAATGCGCAGAAATTAATTTTTCTTTAATTGGTTGATGTTTTTGAGTGAGACTGAGTGACCAGTGAGATTGGTCCAGTTATGGAATATTAAAAAAAAAACCCCAAAATCTGTATACATTTCTTGTTAGATTAATGTTAGTTTTTATATTTTCCAATTATGTCTTTAAATAAAGATATTGAAAAAACAAAAAAAATTGCTATGTATTGTAATAGTGAGTTGGTGATTTTGTAGTACAAACAAAAAGTTTTTCATCCAGTTTCTCAATAATTATTAGTTATTCTGTGTCAAATCAACAAGGGTCTGACCATCACCGACAGATTTTTCAAAAAAAAAAAAAATTAGTCACAAAGTTTAAATATCAATATTTCAGTTGTTTTTCACCTTCAAAGCTAAATTACATACCATTTTAAAGTACTCTAAATGGTGATCTATTTATTTTTTTTGTTTAACGGTCAAATAAAATAATTTGACCTTAACCACTGACCTTTAATTTCTCAAAAATCGTGTCTTAATTTTTCTAAAAATTTGACAACAATGTGTCTGCCTTATAGCAAGATATGTACAAAATATTTTGGCAGATTGTGGCCTGAGTTACAAGGGTTTTGGGCCAAATTCAAAATGGCAGGTTTTGATATTTGCCACTTTTTGCTAACATTTTCATATCTTCCAATATGGTTAAGTTGTATATCTAAATATATGACTATTTTCCAAAATTCACGTTTATGGCAAAGGTCAAAGGGTCATATCCATTCAATTTGTATCATGAAGTTCTGTAAATGTACCAAATTTGAAAAAAAAAAAAAAAAAAATCTGTCAGTGGCGGTCAGACCCTTGTTGATTTGATATAGAATTACTCATTATTTTTAAAATTCTTTATGGTAATTGATATTTGTTTTGAAAGAAACTTAAAAAAATTTCAATGAAATTTTAAAGTTATATTTAGAACATACTACAGAATGAAACTAACTATATGTTACTTGTCTTCACATTCAGCAAGGCTGAGAAGGTCCTAGCCAATGACGTATCTAATGTTTTAGAGATTGCAATCCTATCAAATTATGGATTCTTTACTATGACTGTTACTGGGGAAAAATAGTCTAATGGCTTCCAATTGCTTTCTCTGCAGTTTTTAATTTAGGCTTGTCATCCTAGACTGGTTACCAATCAAAGCTTGTGAGACCTGTGAACCCTACTATTTTGCCCATAGCTAGAAGGAAAATGTGATGGATTCATACCTTTCCCAGAGGTATTAGTGCAAAGTGAATGTGGGAGACTGCTGGAATTTAAACTTGGCTTGCCAATAACCATGATGCTACATGTATATCTTAACTGTATGTAAGATGTTGCTTACCCATTTAATGATCACATTGTTAAGAAAACTTATATCATACAGACATTGCAGATTTTACAAGTACATTGATGTAATCATTGCTCAAGAATAACAATGTATCTTGCATGAATCAAGCAAGTCACAAGTATCTAACTGCATTAATACTCAGTGGTGATATGCTGAGGTTTGGTGATGTCTGGGGCTAACTACTTGATTGTATGCCCCCCTAAGACTCAAGGGTTTGGTCCTATAGGGCCTAGTACTGTGAAATGTGAGGAAGAAAGACATTTTGAATATGTAAAAACAGATAAAACATGTAGTAAACACTTTAATCAAATTAAATATAAACTTTTTATTTCACTCTTTGATCAGATGCCCCCTTGATATGGATGCCTGGGGCTGTTTCACCCTCTTACCCCACCTTCTGCATGCTAACAATACTTAGAATTCTAACTTTTAACTTTTAGTGCCAAGAGCTTTGACAGAAACTGGTGACAAGATGATCACATTTGTATATAAATTGAGACTCTATTGTAAATATTTCATAAATAATATACATTATTTACATTATTCGGACTATTGTCCTCCTCTTTGTCACCATATTTATTGCAACGTTTCGGCCGTTGTACGCTCCTGCCTTCTTCAGGTGGTTGGAATGTTGAAATGAACCCTTTATTTTGCTCACTGGTAGACATGTTTAGTGATCAGTTATCTCCTGTTAATTTTCCTCTGAAAGTTCTCCACTGCCTTAACCGGGTATTGAACTCACACCCTTTGGGTCCTGTCACTGGATCTAACTAACGCCTTTGTGCTATGTGTCCTTGAGGACATCTGGGTATGAATTTCTGGGTATTATAAACATAATGCCTTCAGCAACCATTTTTACCATTTTTGTTTTTTATTGCAATTTTTGCTGTTATCATTCCATGTTTTTACCAGAGCTCGTATTGCAATTTTTTTTTGTTATCATCACTTTTCTCTGGCACTCCTTATTACAGGTTCTCATATTGTCTGAAGAAGGCCGGAGTGTACAATGGCCGAAACATAATAAATATGGTGACAAAGATGAGGACAATAGTTTGAATAATGTAAATAATGTACATAATACCTCATCTCAGAAATATAGACAGATTCATAAATATAGTTTATAAGTTTTAAAGAAAATGGAACAAAAAGGACACTTATACACAACATCAGAAAGAGGCAGTTGAAATTTCTAGGGAACATCATGAGGAAAGAGGGCTTAGAAAATTTGACACTCACAGGACATATTGAAGGCAAGAGGGACAAAGGAAAGCAGTGCATAACCTATCTAACAATTTTGTGTAAATGGTTTGGAGAACAGTGATTAAGAGAGAAAATGAAAAGACAGTATGAGCTACAAAGAGCAGGAAATTGTGGAGAGTCACGATCGTCTACATCCTGAACAGGGATTAGGGAAGATGGCGAAAAGACATTTCCTAAGTAAGAGCTATAAAAGACAGGAAATTGTAGAGAGCCATGATTGCATGTCCTGAAGGAACATGACACATAAAAGAAGTGATGTTATTATTATTGACTATATCTGTCAGCATAAATAACAATGGACCTAGTTATAAGGAAGTTGGGAAAGCAATAAAAATATTAAAAAATAATAAAGCCTTCCTTGATATCAAGGCTGAAGTTTTAAAAGTAGTTCAATCTGTCACTGAATCTACAAACAAATTTCTCAGTTTTATTTGGGAATTTTGGCATTAAAAGCACTCTCCAAATCTTTGGGGTTTGTCACACATAAATTCACTTAGGAAGCATAAAGGTAGTCCTGAAGATCCTCACATGTATTGAGTTGTCTCAGTTGGTTCCAGTATGATGAAAGTACTCCTGAATATTTACTGGCTAGGCACTCATCATTCTATGAAACTCAACTTCTAACAACCCAGTTTGGCTTTCATTATGGTAAGGGCTGCAATGATGTTATATATATCATCAAACAACTATATGAAACAACATACTTATCAAATAGAAAGTTGTACACATGCTATTTTGAGCTCACAGCAGCATAAAACCGTTTCTTTTTGCATTCACAAAAAAAAAAAAACTTTTCAGAGCTATGACTGCTCTGATCTGATAGAAAAAAAGCATATTTGTCTAATGAAGAAAGAATGATAACTTGTGAACTTGAGAAATCTAATTTCCTGAAACACTGTTTTAAGAAAAAATCTTTTTAAAAATTTCAACTGATAGAAATGCTAACTATTTGGCCAATAAATGCCAAATGTTTCCTCTGTGGAAATGGCTCATTCCACTATGATTATTACCATTGTTAGATAGTAGTATAATGGTTATTAGAGTGGAAAATGAAATTGACAGGCTGAGTTCAAATTCTAGCCTAAGCTGATGCTATCATTTAACATTAGTGCCTTTGGGAAAAAAGGTATAAATCTCTCTTTCCCCCCCCCCCACCTTTCCATTATATGTTATAAGTAGCAGAGTAGACTGTATTCTCTATACTTGACTGACAACCAGTCTAATTGAAAAACAACTTGTGTTCGTCTTGTTTGGTTTTCACACATCCTCATGTTGAGAACACTTCCCTTTACTGAGAAAAAAAAAACAAGATATATAACTCTCCCAGACCCATGCTGACTATTGGCTAATAATACCTGCCTAGTATTGTACATATGCAAATAGTCAGCACCACCTACTCTAAGTAGGAGGTCGTCTCTCAACAGCCCATTGTGGAAGGGGACGCAACTCCTGGTACCACATACAACCAACTCATTCTTTTATTGGGCTGACCTGATTCTCTGTTACACAACTTTGAATTGAAGACTGAAAAAAGGTTATGAAAAACCACTTTATTTTTTTCAAGAATAGGCTTGAGAAAGCACAGCTTAAAGATATTTAAAAAAGGAAGCTTTGAAGAATTGTGATCATTTACATTTTGAAGGAATATGGCAGTTTAGCAACTGTACCCAACTGTAATCCATCAAATTTTTGTATTTTTTTTAATAAATATTTGATTTGTATTAAAAACTAAAGAGAAACAACAAAATCAAAGGGAATCAAAACGTTTTTTTTTTTTTATTTTTAAGAAAAAAATTCATTCCTTACCAAAGCTTCTTTTCTTTGGTGTTGGTATTTCTGACAAAAGAAATTTTGTTATGAAAAATTGGTGATTTTACATTTGTATTCTTTTTTATTCTCACTTCTGTAGATGTTTTCAAATATTTAAAATAAGCATAGATTTTTTTTTTTCTTTTTTTTTTTTTTAAATATTATTCCCAAAACATTAAATTATGTTTCTTATGCGATCTTGTCAAACAAGTTCTGTCCAAATATAAAATAGTTTACATGGAAAAAAATGTTGAGTGACATAAAATAAAATGGCTACCCCCCTCATAAAATTTAATTCTTTCATATAAGCTGTGGGTTATAT